AGGCCTGAAGGCTAAAAGAACTTGAGGGCACCAAGGGTCTAGATTAATGCCCCCACATAGACTTTAAAGCCCTTGTCACATTAGGAGTTCCCCGAGGCCATCACTGTCTCCATCATGGTTATATGCGCATGCTGCAGCTGGGCTTGGGTCTCTGTCACCAAATGAACAGGCAGTCTGGTCTTCTGTGTGTCCTCCTGTGATACCCAGTATAGTGTTTAATACGGAGGGCAGTGCTCTCTGAATGCAATTGAATGACTCTGCTTTCTTAGCTATTTTGTTCTACTATAAAAATATACCATGGACTGGGTGCTTTATAAAGAATACAAACTTAATACCTCACAGTTCTGGAGTCTGGAAAGTTTAAGGCCAAAACTTTTTAAAACCTCACAGGAGGTTTTAAACCTCCTGTGTGTAGGTTTGGTTGTTTGTGAAGGCTGTCGTCTGCTTCCAAGATGGCACCCTGAAGGCTTCATCATCCAGAGAAGAGGATCATGGGAGGACAGAAAGTCAAGAGGAATAAACTTCTTCTGTCAAATCCTTTTTTAAGGGCACCTAATCTCATTCATGAGGGCTCCACCATCATCATATCATCACCTCCCCAAGACCTTGCCTCTTAATACTGTTACATGATGATTACATTTCTTTTTTCCCCCCTACCTGATGATTACATTTCAACATCTGAATTTCAGAGGGGAAACATTGAAATCAGAGTACCCTTCTTCTGTTACCCATAATTCCAGGTTCCCCATCTAAGGTAAGGGTTGGATCCTGGATCCTTGGTTTTAGTCTTCAGGACCTCTGGACATGGGGTGGGGACATAATGACTTAGAAATACCTTAACTCTTCACACACATAGTTTTCATCAAGCAACCCAAATGCCACCTTAGAGCCCAACTATTCCCTGGGAAATGGAACCAAGAATGGGAGAGACTCAGAAAGGAGAGGGCATGGGTAGCCCTGGCTGTGCGTACGGGTCTCTCTCTTGACTAACTCTGAGGGGCATATAGTGAACTAGGCAGCCACTGCCAGCTCTGAGCTTGGGGTCTGCTCAGGGAGTATCTGCAATAAGCTTAAAAACGTGTACTCGTGCCTCCTCTTTTGTTTTCTCCTCCTCCTCCTCCCCCTTCCCTCCCTCTCCCTGTCCTCTAGTCTAGAGTCTCCAGAGAAACAGAATACAGTAAAACTGTGGTTTGTGGAAAGCGGCGAGTGCGTGAGGGTTTCCAGGAGCGCCGTGTGGAGCTGCGTGCTGGGGCACCTTGAGTGCAGTGGTGTTCTCCGGCCCCGCTACCCTCATTCAGTCTCTGAACCTGCTGGAAGATGCGCAGTTCCAGAAGGAGGTGGCTCATGTTGGGCGTCGCGTGACCCAGCAAAAAAAGCAAGAACTTACACCCAGAGTAATCTTTGAGGGATACCTACCTCCGGTACTTTTTGAATCCCAGATCAAAGCATGTTTCTCCTAGTTTGGCAGTATCATGAGATTCAGACTGTCCAGAAGTAAAAGGACAGGAAATAGCAGAGGCTCTGCCTTTGTGGAATTTCAGCCTGAAGATGTGGCTCAGATAGTAGCTGAAATGATGAACAACTACCTCTTCGGCGACAGATGCCTGGTTTGTTTTTTTATGCACCAGAAAAGGTACATAAAGATCTTTTTAAAGGCTGGCAAGGGCTAGTGAGATAGCTTAGTGGTCTAAAGTGCCTGCTTAGGCAGGTTTAGGCGGGTGCAGTGGACCACAGTTCTATCCCCAGCACCCCACATACCATGCCAACCCCTCCCTCAAGGCAGGGCTGAACCGGCCAAAACAAAACAAAACAAAACAAAACCAAAAACAAAAAAGGCTGGCAAGTTCCAGTTCATCATCCAATATACCTGGCAGTGAAACGATATAATCATAATTGGACACCACTACAAAAGTTACATATGGAAGATTGGTTTAAGAAGAAAAAAATTAGGAAAAAATTAATTGCAAGAGGAATTGATTATGATTTTTCCTTCATTAGTTTTATCTACTAAGAAAAAAGAAGTTTTGGACAAAAAAAAAAAAAAAAAAAAAAAAAAAAAAAAAAAAGAAAAAAGAAAAAAAAGAGGTCTCCACCAAAAAGTAAAAGGCTCCAGGCATACTTAAGAAAAAGAAGAAAAGGGTTTCCAAAGGCTCTCCCGTAACTCCTGACAAGACTGTAGATAGCCAGAGAGCCACACCAGCTTGTACACCAGCATTTTTGGAGAAACAAAAATCTGAAGTTGTTGAAATGAATAATGATAAAGATGATGAAATAGTGACCGGGGAGATGGATCAGTAGAATAAGCGCTTGCCTGAGTCCAATCCCCGGTTCTGCCAAAAAAAAAAAAAGATGATGAAATAGTCTTCAAACTGCCTGCGTCCAGTATAAAAGAGATACAAGAGACTCCAACACCCACTCCTTCAAGGAAGAAAAGACAAAGGCGAAGAAAGACCAAACAGTGATTCTGAATGTGTTGTATGCAGTGTATCTTACCAAATAATGTGATTTATTGTAAGAATGACTGCCGTGTCATGCTGGACAAACCAATTCGACCAATAGCAAGACTTTCAGAGGAAAAAGATACTGGTTGTTCAAGGCTAGTAAGGAAAGCAGTCAGTAATTCTGGCTCCTCAGCTCTTGCTGAGATTTCGGGGTACACCACAGTTTGCAGTGGTTGGGCTCACAGTGCCTTTTCCCTGGACCTCAACTTTTCTGATTCATTTCAGCCTCCTTTGGTTTACCCTGCATAAAAGTCAATATTAACTGCAGGTTTAAGTACTCAAGTGTTGGGGCCAGTGAGATGGCTCAGTAGAATAAGTGCTTGCTGGCAAGCACAAGGGCCTGAGTTTAATCCCAGGTTTGGGGGGATGTACTCAAGTGTTGTGACCTTTTGCCACCAACAAATAAAGATCGCTTGACCATTAAAAAAACCAAAAAAACAAAAACCAACCCCTCCCCCCAGAAAATACCCACCTTGGTTTGCAAGCATAATTCATTCTGGAGACATGCTAGTAATCCAAAGCACTTGGAAATCAAAATGCATTTCACTCTCAGAAAAATGGAAACTCAGGTGATTCGTCCTACAACCAAAAAATAAGAACATAAAAATGATTACAATACTGTAATACAACATAAAATAATAAACAAAACACAAAATATAAAGAAAAATAAATACATTAACCTGTAGTTTTATAAACTTTCATGACTGGAGTGAGGAGATAAGAGAGAGGAGGGTTACTGTGTAGGATGACCTTCACTATCACTAGTGGAATCACTGCTGTCTATTGGTTCAGCACAATCTGTTTCTTTCTGTGCGAGTTTAACAAGGAACCTATCCAATGACACTTGCTTTTGCCTTCTTTTGAAGATTTTGTGTAAATGTGACATTGCATTGTGATTAAACAGATTCATCACTCACACACATAGCCCTACTCTGGTGGTGCTTTTCTACAAAAGCTTGCATTATTTCCCACATGTTATGCATCTTCCTAAGGTGTTCTACCTAAACTGAAGGATTTTGTCACCTTTTTCTCCTCCTCTGCAGACAAAAAAATCTCTCTTGCTTTTGAGAGATGTTCACCCACAATCCTGGGAAGGATGGGAGGGAGGGGAGGGAAGGAAGAAGGGAGGGAGGGAGGGAAAGAGAGAGAGAGAGGCCAGAGGGAGAGAGAGAGACCGAGAGAGAGAGAGAGAGAGAGAGAGACAGGCAGGCAGACAGACAGAGACAGAGAGAGAAATGCAGTGAGTCTTGGTGCCAAGTTGGCAAATCCTCCCATTTCTTACTTTTTTTCAGAAGCATCTGGGCTATTCCTGGATCTGCGTGCAGCCCTCTGGATATTAAGATAATTTGTTGCACACATAACTTGGCTGGGTTAGGATTGTGGTTCCCTTGAATATGTCCACAGAGAGCTTGTGGGCACCTCTGCAGAGCAGACGCTCTCTGTCCATCAGCCTGGTCCTTTCTGCATGTACTCAGCCGCTCCTTTATGTCCTTTAGGCAAGTTGTATGTCCTGCAACTGATATTAGCTTCTTTCCCTTTTTAAAAACCAGTGCATGGCTGGGGAGATGGCTCAGTAGGATAAGCGCTTGACTGGCAAATGCAAGGATCTGAGTTCAATCCCCGGTTCTGCCAAAAAAAAAAAAAGAAAGAAAGAAAGAAAGAAAGAAAGAAAGAAAGAAAGAAAGAAAGAAAACAAATGCCATATAAATCAATAATATCAGAATAAGTAAAAAACAAAACAACAACTAAAGACAGGAGATACTGTAGGTAAATATTTCTTAAAAAACCAGTGCATGTTTGTAACATGAAGTAGTGTCCTCAGGTCAATAATTTCTGACATTGCCAGTTAAACAGAAGACTCAATGCTATTATGGGCTACTGGACTCTTTTAGAATATTTTGCTGAGTTTACACA